GAATAAAAGAACTCGGTTGCAGTAGACGTGTATTGCAGTACCGAGACGCAGCTGATATAACGGTACTACTCCTTTTCACATTAAGCTTAAGTCAAAACCAGCCCCGACCTACAATCCACTAACTAAACCGGCAATACTTTGGCCACCACCCGTAGTCCTTCAGTCCATAGACGCACAAGCTTCAGTCACGCCGCAGTAGCCGAGTAGGATAGAAAAGTATCGAAATATTCTGAGGTCAACCGATGTTGAAAAAATTATTTTCTACAATAATTGGTGCAGCAAAGCTTGGTTATGAGTTGTAGTGTGGCGGTCTCATGCTGCATCACATTTTGATTAGAGAAGGTTTAAATAATGTGCTCGTATAGGCGAAAACCCCTTGGACACATCCTGTACAAATCTTCAGTATTTCCGTATAACATGCGATACTCCTGTGAGTAAAAACCTCAAGTGTAACGCAAACGATACATAGTGTTGCATTCACAAACCCTGACATAAATCAAAAATGATACCACAAATGCCCATCGTTCCGTACCTACATTAACAGGCCGAGGATAATAAACGCCAATCACAAAAATATACTCCAATTGCTATCATCAGTTTAATAACACTGCAACAATTGACATAATAACGACGGTCGAGGCTCAAGAATTACGGGCTTTTTGTAAAGCTTGATAGATAGTGTCAGTATCCGTTAACCTCATAATATTCCGAAACATTTTGATCGGATGGTGGCTAAATATTGGGAGTTTATTTAAAGGCTCAAGGCTAATGGAGTATAGGTTTTTGCTAAAGCTTGATAAGAAAAGGTGTATCTAACGTAAAATTGCATGAACTCAGGTGAACGATAAAACTCAACGCGTTCAGTAAAATGAGAAAACAAACGAACATAATTTGACACAGAGAAAGATACAGTCTGTATAATGGAAGTATCACCGGGCTTCCGCGACGATATCCAGTGAGTATCCAGATAGATCGGAAATGCAAAACGAGGACCGTACTTTTCCAATCTGCTACACTAAAACGGGAGCTCAATTAACATTTTACTGAACAGATGTACCATGAATGTTTTGTTGCTTAGTTGCGATACTTTCGTGCTGAATTCATCGTCCAGCTCAGTAAAAAAGGAACTACGTGGTCTGGTCTTATGAGAAATTGAAAATCACCGAGAATGGCTGCTGTTTTTTAACTGCAAACGGAAAATGCTTTTTGTTGTCATCAGCAACCAGATCAAACTCATTAGATCACTTACACGATATGAAATTAGCGAACAGATGCAATTTCATCATTCACGAATGAATCGAGGTTTACAAAACGTGGAACAATATCTACTGCATCGTTTCCACGGCCACCCACCTTTATAGAAGACGCGGTGAAGCACAATAAAAGCTTCCATCACCGAAACTGGTTAAATCTCTAGGGCATCACTTAATCTTGATCATGCACGAGCAAAACGCGTGACTTATTCCTGAAGAACGTAACTAAGGTCCCTGGCTGAAACCATATCCCGCATAATATAGAAAAACTTGATATTACATAATAAGTATTATCTGAAAAACCAAATGACCCAAATGACCATGTTTTCTAGGAAGCAGATAACCAGTTTCGCAGTTTTGTTTTTCATAAAAAATGTTTTTTGATCCGGTTTCTTGGGGCGATTAACATTTTTAAAAAAATGGAAAAACGGAACTATCGCACTGAGTCGCAGGAGAGTTTATGAAAACCACGTAGCTGAAAATATACTCTTCAGTGTGGTCGACTTGATTTATGCCATGGTGAGCGTAGGTTACATACAGCTTGGCGTCACTCTGCTCAGGTTAAACCCATAGTTTAACCGTTGTCAGTTATATAATCACACCTGACCCAGTGAAATCTTATGTGGTTTTTGATTAAAGTTTCTATGTCTACTCCTCAAGGAAGAGATCCTTTGGACCTTTGGAGAGGGAAGTGTACAAATCGGGAAAATGCGAAATTCCAAGGGATAAAGTACAAGATTCTTCAGGAGGGCTGATCACTTAAGCGATAAGTTGTCGGGAAGATATAAAAAGAGAGAAGGGAAAATCCTCATCGTAATACTAACTAGTCTTGAAAATCTCACTCCGCGGCAATTCGTCCTTACCCTCAAGAAACCATGAACAAGTGCTGCACAATGGTTTCACTTTATTTGTGAATCGTCTCCAGTGCAAACCTGAAGAACGTAGGGTAAACCAGAACAGACATTATAAATCTCCAAGTTCCGTATGTCTCCTCCTGACATCATTGATCAAGTTCAGAAGGAATCACACGCTCTTTCTCGACCGAAATATGGTGGTAATCAACCTAAAAGGCAACGCTTTATCGGATATTTTAATCCAACAATCCGCTGGCTGCTATTCAATGTTCTCTGGAGAATTAGTAGCAGACACTTTACCGTGTTTACATTTATTGCTATTTCCGAACGACTGGATCTAGACGGTATGCCAAATAAATTGTGGTACGGTAATCTTTACGCCAAAGGTTCATGATGTACCTGTGGGCCTAGTGGCGCTAATTTGCCCAGAACAAATTAGACGAATTCATAACCAGAGCATTTGACTAAAGCTTGATCGGCAATGCAGCGGTGTCCATTGGGGACCGATGCCCACTGCATGTCTAACATTCATTCTCTAACAAGCTTTATTCCACCATCTTTGAATAGAGCGGGGGGAAGGCCATTGGAGCCCGGCGCTTTGTCACGTCCCAAGGCTTGGATCTCCTTGCAGATTTTCGCCTCAGAAGGTGGGTCTGTTATGACAGGCCATGGGACGTGTGCCGGAATAGCTGTGTGAGGAGCTGACGCTGGTGGCCAGCTAAATTGTGCTTCGAAGTGCTCCGCCCAGCGTGCAAGACGTCGCTGTTGATTGTGAATGAGCGAACCGTCAGCCTCGCAGATCGTCTCGCTCACACCTAAGGCTTTCCTATCAGTGACCCGGATGAGGTGAAATAGATTGCGGGAATTTCCCATGGCGGCAGCACGTTCCATCTCTGATGCGCGTTGAGACCACCAGATCTCGCGGTCTCTGCGTAGGCTTGCAATAAGTTCACGTCTCGTTATGAGTCGCGTTTCATTATGCTNGCTCGCTGCCGGTCGGAAATGACCGACGTGCGTCAAGAAGACGTAGAGACTCTGCAGAGATCCAGGGTGTCACCGCGCGACGTGTTAGACCACAATTAACTAAGCCAGCAGAATGCATAGCACTCTTGATAAGCGACCAGTGCTGGTTGACACTGTCGAGTGGGGTTGGTTCTAGCTTCTTAGCTAGCACGTTTTGGAAGACAGTTAGACAAGCTGGTTTGGATAGCTTGTCATAATTTAACCGTCGTTGTGTCGTGCGTTTGGAACGCCCACCGAAGCACATGGACAGCTTGGCACATACTAATGCGTGGTCGGATTCGAGGGGAGTGCTCCAGTACGAACGGCAGTCTTGGATGCAGCCCCGCCATTTGTGGCTTATAGCGATGTGGTCAATCTGCGTCCGTCTCTGACTCGAGGAGGGCGGACGTATACGTTCAGAGTATTCTGAATGTCTTCACACATGCCCATAGCCTAGACGAACTAGCGG